TTAGTTGGTGAAAATCACCAAATAATTTTCTCCATGTAGTTTGGGTACTACAGGATAACTTGCGACTCTGGTCACCTCCGCGGGGATTCCCCGCTGTGTTATTTAGGGTCGAGCGTTGCCGAATTCACTCGACACTGCCCTGTCGCATGTAGCGAGTTTCCGGCAACGTTGCACAACGAACAATTTCATTTAACACGGGAAAAAATTATTCGTCTGTTTGAAATAATTTGTTTTCTTGAGAAATTGATTTCAAGATGAATGATTTATAAACTATCAATTGGATATCACAAAGGTATATCGAGACTGACAGGAAAAAAGGCATAACGAAACGGCAGCAATAACCCGGCCGGGGTATCGCTAGTGTAACAAAGAGTTGATACGACGCTGCTACCTCCAAAATTCGGATATTTAAACTCCGCATTTAATCAAGAATGATAAAACGTTTATCCTAATTCGAGTTGCGTGACAAAAAAAGCAAACGAAGTATGTAATTGGAGATATAAGAAAATGAATAATGAAATTGAAAAAGATTTCAATAATTGAATTTTTATTTTTATCTTCAGTGCTCCATCCCAATTGCGTCGAAGCAATGAATAAAGAAATGCAAATAGAATTGTATTGAATTACTAGGAAACGAAAATATGAAAAATTCAAAAGTTTTATTGAAATAACTAAAAAACCACTGACGAGACTTCGCTCAAAATCCAATTACACTCAAGATACATGATGACGCAGCGATTACACGAAATCGATTCAAATTCCATCGTTATTTCAGATGAAATCGTCGAATTTCAGTAAAAGTAACGTTGTTTGACATTTTCTCATATGTTTTATGCAGATAACTGGAAAACCGCTGAGGCAATCATTTCCATAATCTAATCAGTTCTACGTTACATCAAGACGCATCGATCAAAAAAAAAAAGAAGTTGAATCGGTTCGTTCGTTCCGGAGAAATCGTTGGACAAAATTTCACTCACATACGGTGCGACGCACGCACATACACACACACACACATACATTTCTTCAGAAACGTTTCAGGATGACTCTAGAGGTCACGAAATGTGGACAAATCATCGAAATTCAACATTTCATTTTCGGGGTCATTACAATAACTTCTTCCCTTCGGGTCGGGAAGTTAATAATGGTCTACGATTACAGAGAGGGTTTATGTTAATTGAATAAACTTCGCTTGAATCGAACAAATGGGCTCAGTCGGATAGCTGGTAATGAGGTTTTTATTCGCGTTTCTATTCACATCAAACAGATAGTTCCTTCATCAGCATAGAGACGACATCAATTGCGAATGAAATCCTTTTCTCAACGGTAGAATGAATGGATTCATTAACATGTAATAATTCTCTATTTGAATCAGCGGAAACTTTCATTTGATTTTGACGGAAAATTCATTAGGAATGGTTGAATGATTGTTCTCCTATAATTTAAAAAAGGACATTATGATAAATATATGGATTCATCAATTCTCAACAATAATATTGTTGAAATGAATAGGAAAATTTGATTAAAAGAGCTCTGTTTGATGTCAATGCGTGATTTTTGAACATTGAATGTATTTTCTGAGTCCTGCACTTTATTATTTGGTCCCACTTTTTGACAGTTTATTTAGAGAAACAAATTGGCACCCTTAAAGTGAATTTAAATTTTGCCCATCGTAATCGTAAGATTCTATTTGTACTTTCAGCTACTAGGCTTGAGCGTTCAGCTATTGAGATATTCACCTGAAATCTCCGAATATCTCAAACCTCTATTCTAAAATTCATTTTTTAATCTTCGTTTGGGGATTATTTTGCCCAAATAAAGGTAAATTCACACTTGAAAGAGGTTAAATTAACGCCATAGAAAAGGGTTAATTAACTGGGGTTAATTAATGGGGTTAATTAATATGGGTTAAACCCCACAGTGAGTGTCAGTTAGGCCCGTTTGAGTTTCACTTTATCTACACTGAGAACAAAAATTACTTCTGCCAAGTGAATTTACTGTCACAAGTAAATGTATTGTGACGTATTCCGCACCTCTGCGGAACAATACGAAGATATGCAGCCCTCGGCGACCAAAACAACAAATTAAGTAGTTGGGCGCCAGCACGTGTGAAACGTGCAAAAATCACAAACTCAAAAAATCAACAAAGTCCGCGACGAAAAGGGCGACTGCTGACAGCTCCGCATTAACCGCGGTGGCGGCTGGGTTCCACAAAATGTCATCCTATAACATTCTAAAATGAGTGGGTTTTTAACCTATTCTACATGAATCACAAAAATCCGAAATCATGGGGAATAAATAGCTTTTATTCAAACCCCCTTTCTTATTCCTCAAATATTTCTCTCAAAAACTCGAAAATATATATTACAATAAATTACAAATCACAAAGCTAAAGACTCGATACATCACAATTTTTCCCTAACCGTAATCTGTCAATAATAAAATACTAAGCAAGTTAAAATGATAGTCAGAATAAGTCAAGATAAATTGAAGTCAAAATGAAAATGTCAAAAGGTAAAATAACTAGTACAGTACTGAATCAGTCAATAATTACAAAAATAATATTATTTCGAGAGATGAACGCCTCGATAAAAGACGGAATGAATAAGAAATCTAAATTTCGGTTGACGAGAACTAGGATTGCCTCGAGAGACAATAACTCATGACCCCATACAAGGTCACACGACAATGAAAACTCGAGCGTCGACACCGACGCTTCAATCCCAATTCCGTTTCCCAAAAGAAATAACCCCGATGTCGAATAAAATGAAATAATTAACTCAATGTTTTCGACATCAAGAAATATCAAAAGGATTTTGGAATGTCAAAATAGCAGCTAGCTGTCAAGAGATCCACATCCGACCGTTGACAATTAGCTAGATGAAACGAGAGTTATACAATTCAGAAAACAGAAAATGTCACTGAATTTAATTGTGGATTTAAAAACAAATTATCTAATGCCTCGAAAATCCAAAAGTAGGCAAAATCGAAATGACTGAAATCGAGAAACTAAAACAATTCCGCCGAACAACGGGCAAGAAATTGAAAGGAGAATTGAACTGATTAAAATGGCGTCAAAACCGCCATACGCCAAGCGTCTTATCAAAGGATACAAAATTAATTCTTAATAAACACAAATTAACTTGGAAACTGTTCAGCTCTCCGCTCACTGTAGTCTGGAACCCAAAATATATGTCCGCTTCAGATGAACGGGTGTCGAAAATTCTCCTTGCAAGAGTCCCTTCAAGTCCAGAGCAGGCCTCGATATCGTCAGAATTTTCCGGTGACACACAACACCAGAAAAACAGAGTTAGTCTCACAACGTCCAAACGAAAAGTCACGAGCCATGCGACAATAACCCATGCGTTCGCTAATTCTCCAACCGGCAATGATTCCATTGGTCAATCATGACATCTCCTTCAACAACATCAATTTGATTGGTCGGCGATGACAACACCTTCTGACCATTCACTGATTGGTTCACCCAACCAATTCAGAACTCACGAGTCCAAAACATACTCGTATCATTTTTCCCAGCGACACAAATATACTGTGTTCGCCATAAATTCAACAATAAATTTTCAAATGATTTATCATAAAGAATTGATGTTTCACTGGATATCTAACGTCAGTCCAGTGTTTTCCCACCAAAACATAAGATAGTCGTCTGGGACACCACTAGCTACAACTAGGGTCCCTATACCAGTTACCGCTGCTCGGTCCATCACCATACTGCCTCCAACGCGGGAATCATTCGATCCATTCGAATGTGACGTGACTCGAAACCCTGCATGCAACTTGACTTCAGGACTCTCTCTCTCTTCAAGGCTCAAATATTCTGTCCGACCCCGTGTAGATTTCATCCAGGCTCCAAATCCCTCGACGTCATCCGATGAGAAGTAGAATATTAGCTCGATACAATCAAAAATAAAATATTCAACAGAAATTCAATAATAAATAAATTTTTTACTCTCGCTTTGCTGGTAATGTGACTTCTCATCTGGACGTTTCAAATTTTCACCGTTGAACGGTCGAAATAAAAAATAACACGTTACAATATATAAATATTTGCAATTTGCATTTGAAGTGTATGGATTTTCTTGTAGTTAGTAAATTTACTTGGCACAAGTATTTTTTTTTCTTAGTGCATAGGGGGGATTAATTTAACCTTTAGAATTTGGGGTTACATTAACCTTAAAATTCTAATCCGAAAAATTTTGATCCGATTTGAATTTTTTTTTGAAAATGTTCGTGAGATTCCAAAGAAGAAAGTTAAGCTTCCGTTTTACGATCCATTATATAGATCATGAAAAAATCGAAAAAAAAACGAAAAAAAACTATTCAAAATAAAGACTTTTCAGGCATAATGCAAAGACAATCAGAAAAGAAAACCCTTTTTTTTAGTTTTTTCGTTTTTTTTCGATTTTTTCATGATCGATATAATGGATCGTAAAACGGAAGCTTAACTTTGTTCTTTGGAGTCTCACGAACATTTTGAAAAAAAAAATCAAATCGGATCAAAATTGGGGAACGAGGAATGTTTTAAAGGCAGAAACATGAAAAACGACGTTTTCCGTGGAAGTACGGGGCAAAAGCGATTGGGTCCGGGATTTTTCCCACTGTTTAACATATCTCATCATATAACTAAAGTCGCTCAATAAGTCCCTAGATCCACCGAAGACTTTTAAATTTTTCCGGGGTTCTCCCTTAACGTTTTTTGTATGTTGGGATATGTTGATTTATCCTTCCCGTTTGAACCTTATCAATTATCAGCGTCCGAAGTTTATGCGCGGCTTCTTAACTATCAGCACCATTCGTTAAGAGTTGACGAATAGAATTGATACTAAAGAAGCCTCGTTAGTACTAACTAAATCGTTTCACATTTTCTAGCAGTGCATATTGATGAGACATTTTGATTTCAGATTTTTCGGCATGGAGATCGAACTCCGACGAATAAACCTCGCGAAGCATTCCCAACCAGCCCATATGCAAGATCGAATTTTTATCCTCATGGTCATGGACAGTTAACAAATGTAACTTGGACAACTTGCCCCCTTTTATTAAATATATCATATCTTTACATATTTATTGTTTTCTTTTTGCACCTTTTCTTCAGAAAGGAAAGCAACGGGTTTATGAACTAGGTATCTACATTCGTGAACAGTATGGTCAATTTCTGGGGAATATATACTATCCAAAGGTCGTATTTGCGCGCAGTACTTATTATGACAGAACGAAAATGTCTCTTCAATTAGTGATGGCGGGTATCTTTCCCCCTGCTCTCGAACAAAAGTGGAATTTAGAACTAAATTGGCAGCCCGTTGTGGTGAATTATGTACCACCTGGTAACGATTCCCTCATGCTCTTCTACAGGTTCTCGAAGTGAGACAGTATTATATTCTCCAACAGCTAATACATATTTGTCAGGAAAATTGACAATTTATTTCATGGCAGGTTTAAAGAGGAGTACGACACCGTGAAGAGGCTCCCCGGAGTTCGAAAAGAAATTGAAAAATTCAGTGACTTTGGGAAAAATCTTTCCGAATGGACCGGTGCTTCAATCACTGATATTGAACATTTCAACTTTATTTATCATAGTTTAGCGTCGCTACATTCTATGGAGCTTGATCTTCCTACCTGGACTTCTGGAATTTTTCCCCATGGTGCATTATTAAATGCTACCGTTCTAGATTATCGATTGCTGAATTACAACAGGAAACTGAGATGTTTGAGCGGTGGTGACTATAGAAAAATTATGAATACAGATTATGTTCACTTTTTTCAATATTTACATTCGATAATTCATGTCAAATCATTTCGAAACTCAAAGTTGAACTTTCCACATGATTTTTTGTATGATCATAAGGAAGATTGAAAAATAATAATTTGAAAACGCTCAAATGACCTTGAAATACGAAGTATACACTGATAGAAAAAATTATGTTTCGTGAGATGTTTCTTTCTTGGAACAAGTATTGTGTACTTGAATCAATTTCAAAGAAAGAAGATCTTACGGTGAATATCAATTATTGCTTTTTCAGATACATTTACTTGAATTAAATAAAACAGTCCTTGGCGTCAAATCACATGTATTCACCACAAAAATGGGAAATTTTTTTAACCTAATATAATCTCCACTCCAGAAATTTTCCACTTTCATGAATTGATCAAAAATTGATATCTAGGAAATGATTACATTGACGAATGAATTGAACGTTATTTTCTCGAATGAAGCCGATGTTTAAATTGATATTCTCATACATTACATTGAACCAAAATTTGTGATATCCAAGTTTGTGTTGAATTGCCGTAATCTGTGATTCTATTATTGTAAACTAATGCGATTTTTTTAGTCCAGAAATATAAACTTCGTTCAACTCAATGACATCTTACTACAATCTCAAAGCTTTTTGCGCGTAACAATATTCATCCTGATTCGACATACAAAATGCTCACTTCAATTATAATTTACTTGGACCAATGTATAATCATGTTGATTGAGATAACAGCGTATTTAGTCATGAAAATAATTTTAATTTTTGAGTAAACCAACGAATTTCTGGAGTTAGCAAACTTTTGACTAAAAAGAAATCAAATACTCTCATTATTGTGTCACATAAAAGGAACTTTAATTCTAGAGAAGTTCGATTTCTCCCAATCAAATGTATCTCAAGAAGAGATAGCTGGTATTCACTATGAAATCATGTTAATTTTAAAATTAGCAAGCAAATGATAGTTGATTCAAATTAAATTCTCTCGATAAAAATAATTTTTTCTGTCAGTGTAGGAAGTTGTGAGGTCATTGCCCAGGAACACACGTGCATATATTTAGAATAGTTTAATTTATTCATCAATATTATTTATAATTTCATTTATTGAATGAATGAAACAATGTAATTGAACAATTCCCCATGTGTTGAGCTCCTGGCAGAGCGAACTATTTCATTAATGTCCTCATAAAAATAACGTCTATGAAATAGCTCCATTCGTTGAGAGTTGAATTTCGTGAAGCGAATATAAAGAGTTGAATGTTGAGAGCAAAAAGTCGTGAACCACTTATCGAGAACCGAATATGGAAAAGCCAACCATAGCGGTCAAATGTTGAATCGCTCTTCCGCACGTGACTCATGATATTCAACTCTTGAGATTTGAGTATTTCAAAATATCCCGAATTTTATCCATTGATTATCCCGTCAGATCCAGCATTACGTAACACAAAACGTAACGACCACTACATAAGAACTGATTAATCCACTTGCTCTTGCTCATTTCAGGAGTGATTTTGAAGAAATTTATAGATAATATGTTAGCTGTTGCTAAAAAAGATGGAGACTCGGAATTCAAAATGGAATTACTAGGTGGCCACGACTTAAATATCGTTTCGATGTTAAAAATTCTCGATGTCTATCAAGCTCATGTGCCAGAATATTCCAGCGCCATTTTTGTAGAATTACTGGCGGATAACGATAGATATTTTGTCAACGTGAGTTTACATCCTCTGTTGGTCAATATACTAATTTCATCGATAAATGTTTTTCACCAACTGATCATTTTAGATTCATTATTACTTGGGGATGCCACCGATCAGAACATCGATAGAAATACCCGGTTGTGGAGAACTATGGCCTCTGGGAACGTTCGTGAAATTGTTCAATGATTCGCTGCCTACGGCGGAAAACATATGTTGAAAGTGATAGTCACATTTCTATTCAAACGTTTTATTTTTTATTAATTGATTATTCGGCCATAATGCGATAATTAATACGATAATACATAATACGATAATTGGTTGAATTGCCTCAAGAAGGTTAGGCGGAGTTTATTAGAGTGACTTGATCCACAATACAGCGGACTATCATTATTGCCGTAGGGTTAGGTTAGGTTTGGTTGGCGCATACGTGGGTTCGAAAAAGTGACTCTCATGTAACTTATATAGAACTTATAATAGTATTACCATATCATATCGTTGAGTGGCGTAGTCGGTAGCGTGGTTGAGTTAGTAACCCAGGCACATGATACCGAGGACTGAATTCGAATCAGAGATAGTCACCTCCATTAATTATAATTACTGTTAAATTAGTAAGTAGTCAGTTATACTGTTAAAATAACTTGACTGAATTTCCAGAAAAAACACCTGAAATCCAATTTAAGGGGAAAAAATCAATGGAATTTCAAGTTTTCTTGAGAATTCAACTGAAGTCTAATTTTTTTCACGGCATGAAAAAAGAAATTCCGGAATTTACATGAATATTCAATTGAAAATGAATATTCATTGCCAAATTTCCTTCATTTTTCAGGGAGTTCCTTCAAAATTTTTGGTATGCCAGAAATTTTTGAAGGAATTCCCTGAAAATTCTGGGGAATCTGAAATTAAAAATGAAATTTTTATGAATTTTCCTGATTTTTCTTCAATTTTGTCGAAATAGTTAAATTTCAATTTACAATTCCCACGGATGTCAAAATTCCACAAAATTCTTTAAAACTTCAGTGGAAATATTACTTATCAGAAATTTCCAAGCCTCTAACTAGAAATTTCTGTGATTATTTTTCCAACCCAAATATCGGGCAATATAATTGGCCCATTCGACATCACATGGTACAAGCTACAGGGTTTTCAACTGATAATTCTTTGATAATTTTCTCTGGTAGTTGCTATATAAAAAACAAAATATCATGGAGTCGAATTAACCACTCAGAAAACTGACAGATTGAATTCAATTGTGTCGTTGTGTTAATTATACAATTTTCGTTTCTCAATTGTGAGTTTCGTCTCATGGTCCAATTATATTGCCCGACATTTGGATTGGAAAAATAATCCCCCGAATACCACATGAGCTTCAAAATTAATCGGGCATTTTCCTCAAAGTTCCCGGCATACAAACGAACCTATCGGGAAATACCCGATAATTTTGAAGCTCTTGTGGTATTACAAGTGAAAAATTTTTAATACTGTAGTTAATATCACTCTTAAATTTTAATTAAAGAAGTAATCATCAATAAGTAGTCAAATTTCGAATTATTCATTAATCAGTAAATGAGCTACGAAGATTGACGATTATTTGAATAATCGGAAATGCCTTATAAGAAATTCAGTATTATCTACTAAATAGAAAATTTATAGTTCGATATTTGTAAATATTTAATTCATCATCAATTGCAAATTTAGATTATCAATTATTTTACTATTTTTTAATTTAGATTAGTATTTTTAAAACTTGATCAATGTAAGTCGGCAATTCTTTTAATATTGACGATTCGGATGATTGATGGCCTGGTTCGAATCGCAGCCTCGTCAATTCCGTTATTTGTAAGAATAAAATCTGAGACTTAGCGTTCATGTCCCTGTCTTTGTGAGTAACCTATCATGGTGATGGGTGAAACCAATAAGTCTACTGGTATGGTATAGACCCCCTACCTACCTAGGTGATGTGTTAGGTGTTGTCTTATGGAAATAAATCCAAGTCTTTATATGGTTAGGTTAGTTTCATTCGTTGTCTCATATAGAAACATTGAAGGCGGAAGTATAGCATATAGCATTCCTCCTTCATAACATGTAGGTATATGGATGACCCTATTAACGCCGAATAATCAATTTGAAGGTGACAGCTTTTACTAAAAAATATTCTGTATTCTTTCCGTATTTTTGTCAAGAATCAGAATTCTTGTATGACCGATCGAGATGCGTGTATTTGAGTAGTTAAGGTTTTTAGGGTACATTAAACGCAAAGAATCCCAGCGTTGAAATTTTATTACAGTAGACTCTCGCTAGTTGCTCATCGAAAGGGCTGTACGGGTACTATTTCTAAGAAATTCGCAACTTTCCAGGGGCTTCCACTCCTCAACTAATGCCGACCCAAGTTCTCAGAAAAATGAGGGGGAATATAGTATATTCTGCATCAAGGGCGGAAAGTCATGTTTTCCCGCCTGAGGTGCGCATGCTATTTTTTAACACGCCTGCAAAGGAAAATTCGTATTTTCCTCCCGCTCATCAGGGAGCAAAGTACGAACTTTCCGTGCAGGTGTGTGAAAAAATGGTTTTATTTTTGAAGAAAATTATTTGGACCTCTGTGTTTACGTACGGAGGACAAAAGCAAGTGATAAGGCACCTAAAGTCGGGGCAGCGCTTAAGTGTCCGAGAAGGAGATCAAGGGAAAGCAAGCAACTAACGGGCGTGCAACTAGCGAGAGTCTACTGTACTCTTATTGGTCGAAATCAGAAGTGAGAAAATGGTCGGCTATAATACCCCAAGATCTTCAAACTTATCGTATATTTTCCGAAAGTTTTTCGGCATAGCGACGAGAGAGATCAGTTTTACAGATTTACTTATTGAACAGCGTCAATCACGCACCGTATCGGTGTGAGTATTAGGGAGTCCCTCAATGACTTTGAAAATTTTTTTTCAAACGTTGTAATAATAAAGTTTAGTACGAGTCGAAAAGTTTTTTTTCTTTTCTAACTAATATTGGACTTTCAAGGGAAAAATATAAATTTCAAAAGTTTCAAGTTTTCCGGACTGTGACATTACCCTCACTCTTTCCCGGACTGACTCAGAAGGCCCCAGTCAGTCGGAGGGGACTATCATAAACGCTCTCTACGGCCGATACATTGGGCCTATTCAACCTGTTGTAACTCGGGTAATTGGGCCCGGGAGCTGCGATCACTCGAAGAGTGTTCGTTGCCCTTCCCAGTCTTAGAGCGCCATAAGAAAGGCCCGGCTGCGCACGCACACTACCTCAAAATAATAGAGAATGGGGTACTATGAGGCTGTTCGATGGGTTGAAATCCCAAGCGCGCAGTGCGAGGGGTTTTATTGTAAAACTTATCCCGATCGTTGATATGCAGGAAAACTTGAGGGAAATATCCGATGAATGTTGAAGGAGGGATATTCGGAGGATAATTACCTCAATTCTGACTTTGGCGCATCAGAGTGCGGTGTTCGGAATTACGTGACACGTTTCACCAAAATGTGGAGAATATCTGTTAAATTCGTTGAAAATCATTGAGAGGCTACATGGAAATCATGAATGTGAAACGTGTCACGTGACCCCGAATAATGCACTTTTATTGGTCGAAATCAGAATTGAGAAAATTATCTGTAAAATTCCTTCGATATAAATGTTCAAATTACTTTGACTTTCTATTGGATAATTGACCAAAAATAATCCAAAAAATTGAGCCGAGCAAAATATCTCAATAGACCAAGTTCTATAGAATAATCTAATTCTGTTTATTATTTCCTTACAAGTTTTTCCATTCAACATTTTTGTTAGAAAAAACAAACACGCAGAAAAAAAACAAGAATCAACGTAAGAGAAAATAACTTCCTCCCTTAGGGTCGGGAAGTTGAAAATTCTTAGCGGAAGTGGCACATCTAGTGGGAGAAAATAAAAAAAATGACTCATGCCATTATTCAACATTCATACCGTGAATCATCTCCAACATGAAATTAAAGGCGTATCCACGTCAATAAAAGAAGAAATGACTTCAGTAGCGACGTGGCCGCAGTACACGGCACCGCACTCTGTATTCGTAAATGTCATCGCAACAACGGATGTCGCAGAGTTTCTAACAATATCTACTAGAGTACCGTCACCTCTAATCCCCCGTCTCCTGACTCTTTACCTACACGGAGAGAAAAATACACGACAATCTTGTGAAAGGTCCTTTCAAAAATTATTGTGCTGCCCACCAACGTGGGGACGTATCGGAAGCTAGGCTAATAATAGAAATGTAACACACCTATAATTCGGGGAAGCCAGGTAGGAAATACTAGGTGGCGCTCATCTCGGACATTCAAAAATTAGGGTGCCAATCCGCTAAAATGTTCACAAAGAGCTTCGCACTCCATGCAATACTTCACGTGCATGTGAGGCACACGGATGGAGTTGGTGTGCGATCGCCGGCCGTATTGAAGAGAGAAAAAATGAAACCAATGAAAAATGATGAATTCTCAACACAAAGTGAGCTTGCGTATACATGAAATTGGAAGGTTGAGTAATCGATATTCTACAGTTCCTACCAATTCATTTTTCAAATCACAGAGGACACCACTTAGTAAAGGAGAGCAGATAAAAATTTACGGAATGGCAGAATAAACTTTCTCTGGTGTCATAAAAATACGATTTCCCAAAGTATTTTCTAATGAGCGGAAAGGTAGCCTGAATTATCATTGTTAGAATTCAATTTGTATAGAGTATTCTTCATTTTTTTCCTCTCTTCGGTACGTACCATGCGTTGGTGAAAAGGTATACTAATTTTCGAGAGATTTTTCTCTCCGTGTATTCAGTAGTACGGCATATTTCGGCTGAAGTTTTGAGTATCCCCTCTCTTATTCACCGTATTGTGCAGATTGATGTGAGTCGTTTCTGCGACGTTCGTTTCCAATGACTCTGTGTCTAAGACTGTTGTTTCTTCAGACTTGAATCTCCGATTTTTTCCTCCTTTAGGAAACCCCTGGGAGGGAGCTAAGATTTTTAGCAAAATATCGCGATTTGACAATAAATTAGTATTATTTCAACTCTTTCGACATTCCAGCATTCGTTAAAGAACTCACTCGAAAGAGAAAACAGTCGCCTGCGGACAGCTACGA